AGCCCAAATTTGGCTAGTTTAAAAAGGAATAACAAACCAAAGTTCATGCCCTATAAGAATTTGACAACTTACCTGTTTATATAAACAAGGTGTAGAAAGCCTTGGCATTGTGAACCACTATACATGTACATAAAAATATAATGCCATGTTTTAGGAGGAAAAAATATCAAATTTTGCATATTATAATAAGTAGACCATTATAAAGCACTGTAAACTGACTTAAACATTATATCTACAAGAAAATCTCATGGAATATTACCAAGATGATGACTATTCTGAAGACTGCTTTTGCCAGGTGACACTATGTAATAATGGTGGAGAGAATGATTTGTTGATAAAACAAGCAATTTTCATATACATTTGTATAAAATTTTATTCAAATGAGTAACAAAAACTACATGCGAGTATGTTTCATAAATGATCAATATTTGTAACTTACAAATGTAGGTATAAAAAAAATGCATTGAATGAATATTTTTAGTTTACATACATATTACAAGTTCTATACATGCATTTTTTTGGACAGAAGTTAAATTTCTTGGTCGGCTAAAAAATTGTTGGCACAATCTCACTATTCTTTTTAGCTTAATCGAGTTACCTTTCTGTCAGCAAGAGCTTACCAAATTATATAATGGTCGTGTTTAAACTTAAGCCCCGATCGTGCTAAAATGTGCTCTTCCATCTTTAAAATCTCGACCAGGACAAAACGATTTATCATTCTCGGAGGAAAATAAAACCAGACAGCAAGAATGTACTAGCTAATTTTGATCTCCTTTAGACACATAGGTAGAACATGTTGTCGCCAACAGGACAAGAGTTAATATAAGGGATTTTCGTACTCGAGAAGTAAATAGTATTAACATAGATGTTATCGGGAACTCTGGAAATGTGGGTTTTCCGGGGAAAAAGTGATTTACTGCCTGCAGTACATAAAAATCCTCTGAATAGATAGCAAAAAATAGAAAACAATTAAAATAAGATCTTTAGAATTATGAATATTATTAACTAGTTATAAATTCTTTTATACATGTATTTAACAGTTAATTTATAAGAAATTTAGTGGAAGGAGTTTATGTTCATATACTTTAGTAGAAATAAAATGTATCAGCACCAAATTGACCTATCTGGGAAATGGCAAGGATGGAAAAATGTATCTACGCATAAATAACATGAGAGTACAGTATACACAAAACATGAAAATCATGAGATATTGATGATGATTCAAAACAATAATATGGATTAACGAAAATAACAAAAATGCACATATTACTCTGCGGTTGTATTTTCGCAATATAGAACTAATGAAGATCTTTTTAAAAAAGAGCTAAGCAAATTTGCTTAATTTAAGCATAAATCATTTTATTTTTTAAATCTGTTTTATTCAAATAGTAAGTTAAAGATCATAAAAATAAGACTAAACCTTGATTACATTGCCAGTAACTAACCAGTACTGGCAACATAAAAGGGAAAATTAATAGTTGTAACCCAGTAAATCACAAACCCATTCCCTCATTAGGAAAGCAGACACCTGATATAACCACTAGGGCATCAATCTCTATCTTCAAAATTATTTTAGGTACTTAACCGCTCAAATCTATAGTTTTTAAAAAACTGAAAGAAAATGCTTTTCAATATCAAAATATCAAATATGAAACCTAAAGGTTACTTTTAATGTTAACCAATACATAAAAAGCCTGATTTGTTCATATTCCTAATGACTTGAAAGTTGACTGTTGTAACTGAAAAACAATTATGAATGTTCTTCTCAAATACCTTGCCTGAAACTAAGTTTATTACCATCTGAGGTTCCTAAAGGTATGTGGGGTATAATTCTGTCATGGTAAAATAAATTGTAACATATAAACAATGATCTGAGATGATATTTTGATTCCTCCTTTGAAAATAATAAATACCTAATGTGTATTATATAAAACGTATCACAAATACTAAGTTACATAAATAACCTGACCAATTTGCATATTTAACAATAAATACATGTACAAATTATGCAATTAAATAAACTATCTACAAAATATCACAGACATGAATATGATTTAAACTTTCATCTATCTAGCTTCTTTACGCAACATCAGTGGTCCTACTCTGGTGCCCTTCTGCGCATTATTTCAGACAGAAACGGGCACCTGAGTAGAACAACTGACGTTCAGTAAGCTAACTGGATAGCTTTCTCATATAAGAAAGAATCCAAAGCCCCTCTTGGGACTCGATCCCACATCCGTAAGTGACAAGTGGTTTGAAGTCAATGACCTTAACCACTCCACCACTGTGAGACGCCCTTATCCTTAACACAAGCCATCGAATAGGAATCACAATAAAACATAATACATTAACAGTAAAAATGCATAAAATATTGTATTACAAATCTTGCTGCGACATCTTTTATTAAAGAGTTTGTATCACCCATGAAAATGATGTGTTGGAATGTAAAACTTGAAAAGAGTGTACTGTTTTGTTTAAGAAACAGTAATTCTCTACGCAAACTTCAAGAAGAGTTAATTGATATCACCACAATACATGTGAAATTTTCTCATAAATATAGAAATTTAGGAAGTTTACTTCCCTTATACATTAAGAATCTTACTTCTAAATGTTTTACATGACAGACCAACAACAGATCTAAACCAAAGGCAGGTCTTAATTGCAAGGTGTGATGGTCTTAGTAGCGTTTCTACTGTATTCTACTGTAATTCGAGATGAAATTCAGTAAATTACAAAGGCAGAAGTAGAAACTTAGCAGTCAGATGTCAAAAGATTACATGTTGTAAGATATTTTACAAAGACCAATTTTTTTTCGTGCATTTAAAATTTTCTCGAGCAGTCTTTTTTTAACCAAAAAAAACTGGATTTTCCATTTACCCTGTCAGATTAACAGCAATTATACATGCTGGTTCATATTTTTCTATACTAATAATTACAACATGTCAGATTTGATTTAAATGTACTTTAATTGTATAGCGCACATGTTGCGCATGGTTTATATTCCTTCCGCTCGTGACATTTCTTGTCCTGGTAAAGCAGAATAGATCTAATCTACATTTCCAATGATCTTTCGAACATATACTACCATGTGGTGCGGCCCGTAGTATAAAGAACTTTCTGTCTGCACTGATGTGCAGCCCAAAGCATTTATAATTTAACATTATCATTTTGTCCTGTATATATAAATTATCAGGACATTTTAGAGAACATTTTAGAGTAAGGCGTGTGCGGGAACACTGATTGCTGATTTATTCCCTGTTCGTACTCGTCCACATCCAATAGATCCTCGTCCAGTGAAGCTGTCAGCTGTTGTAAACATACGTCTAATGCCTGAAAAAAAAAAATAATAGGTTGAATACCACTGAATAATTTTTCTCTTTTAAATTCCTAAAAGTAGCCTTTAAAATCATCTGCACAACAGTATGTGACTATTGGGCATCATGGAAAAAAAAAGCATTTTCAACAATAATGCATAAAATGCTAGCTTTTGTGTCACAACTTTGTGATTACTCAAATAAAAGTTATACAGACATAAGTGATGCCCCTTCTAAGCATTATTTCAGGTACGAGCAAGCCAATCAGTAGAGTCATCAAACTTCCATAGAGCTAGCTTGTAAACATCCTCATTCTGAAAGAATTCCAAGTCTTAAATGACTATCAAACCTTAAGTTGTTAAGGTAGTAGGCCCCTTATTAAAAATTTTAGCATATTTTTCAAATGGAAGTCTTTCTTATTTCAAAGCATTCAGGACATTATTTGTGTACTTTTAGGAAGTTTTGACCGTGTAATTATACAGAAATAAGAAAATTTCATTAAAAACAGCAACCTTAATCACTAAGCCATAGTATTCCCCAAGGAAAAATACAGTCCTAGTGTTTACACCTTTGGATTATAAAATCTGCACAATACATGTATATATGTGTATCAAAGATTATGCTTAATGATTACAGACCCATATAAGAATGTATGCAAGTTTCCATACAGGTGTTTCCTTAAAAACTGACGTTACCATTGAAAATACTCTTTTATGAATAAAATGAGTTAAATATTGCAAAGACTGCCAAAGAAAGCAGGAGTTTATGGTATCTTATTACCCAACATATTAGTCAATACAATGTTTGACTAATAAGGGTTCATACTTCTTAAAAGTAAACTAAAAACATTTCACTACATACCGCATCGGTAACCAGTTTTTCATGCAATTTTTTCAGTGATTTATTATTCACAGTTTTCCTCCTGCTAACCGTCACACCCAGCAACTGTTCTAGTAGAATACTACTCATCATATCTGAAAGCAAATTTAATTTAAAGAAAAAAGAACATTAACATTCTGTTTATGTCAATAAAATATTCGGATTTCTTAAAATTTCCAAAAAAAAAGAAGACAAAACAGTAAAACTGATAAAACATCCACAATATTGTTTTGAGATTGCTAAAGACCTGTCCTCAATATGAGGAAAATCTATATTTAGCCACAGTGACCTTGACCCAATAGTTACATGGAAATTTAACAATCCGAGAGTAGAGGTCCATGGTGAGCCCAAACATACAACAAATATAACTTATCACTCAATATAAATGAATATACAATGAAAACAGTTAAGATAGAAAGAATGATGGTCAGACAAATTATGATCTGCACTGTTTGCTTTTTGAATTATTAATAATTTTGAACTTTTCCCTTCATATGATGAATGGTTGTGTTCGGATTGAGAGACTGAGGCAAGTTCATTTGAGATATGTAACGTGGTAAGAGTTAAGTAATTTTTATATCAAAATGCCAAAATTTGGGCAGCCAAGTCAGTGTCGTAAGTGTGCAGGGTGGCCTGGCCATACTCTAGTGACATAGACCAGTCATTATCTCAGCTTTGGCTTTGAGGGTTTAAATATTTCAAGAATATTACAAGCTTACCGTCCATAAATTTGTTAGCATATTCACTCTCTCCCCACACGTTACCCTGCCTTGATACAAGATTTAATATATAGTCTAACATGATTGACTCCATGAGGCGGTCACCAGCTTGACTAGATACCTGGAACAGTTCAACAAAATAGTCAACAAAATAGTCAACAAAATAGAAATTTTAACATGATTCAAAATATTTCCCATAGAAAATATGGGAAGTCAACAACCAGTAATTGAAAATAGCTGGTAATATATACTCCCCAGTACATTACTCTGCAATAAAAACATAGCAAGTACATGTTTATTTTATTCCAGCATCCCACCACTAATATTATGGTATTCAATTTCTTTTCTCATCCAAACTTCTTTGCCCATAATTTTAATATTTAGAGACCTTAGTAGGGTTTTAAACCTGGTTACTAGTATTTTTCTAAGTTGAGAATTTTTTTTGAAGTTGAGAATTTTCTTTTAGATTTTATGCTACACAATCAGTCTTATGAGGACTTTCATAGTTTTACTGCTAGAGGAAGACCTCAGAAGCGCCTCCTTTCATTAAATCAGGCACAAACAGACACATGAGTAGAACCACTAATATTCAGTATACAAGTGCAGGATACCAACCTCACATGAAAGAATCCAAAATCCCTGGCAGGATAAGAACTTGCAAGCAGTTTGAGGCCAACAACCTTAACCATTTGGCCACAGACACCCAAGGTTGAGAAAAGGGTCTTTAAAAGAACACACCAAAAAATTTAAATCAGAAACCTTACCTCTTTAAGTTCCCTGCGTAAAACCTTCGTGTCATAGTGAGTGAGGACAGATTTTGCTATCTCTGGTAATTCTTCCTCTAGTTCTGATTCAATCACCACATCTCTTATGAAATCTTCAGCTATCAAATCAATTAATGCATCCTCAATCTGCAATAGAAAATACTTCAATAATTCAATGTTTAATGTTTGTGCTGCTGATTTTGTGAAATAGAGTTTCAGCTGTTCAATTTGGATTTGATCATTGTGATTTTAAGGGATTTTCAATAAGACAATTAAGCAGACAACAATGTAGAACCTTATATGTCTGACAGTACAAATGAGTTAACATAAAACTTTATCAATCTTTAATTAAAACTTCAATTTTCTTGCATATCACACAAGATTATTTATTGTTTACACTGGTGCAACAAAAACCTGGCTATGAATTACTACAGCTATGAATTTTTAATTATGAAATCCAACAGGCTTTCATTTAATGCTTGGCAAAATATTTTTCCACCTGTTCATTTAATTAAGAGGTATGTACATGTTTAGTTCTATTGTGAGAGGTATGTACATGTTTGATTCCATTGTGAGAAGTATGTACATTTTTGGTTCAACTGTGAGAGGTACTTACATGTTTGGATCCATTATGAGAGGTTTGTACATGTTTGGTTCCATTGTGAGAGGTATGTACATGTTTGGTTCCATTGTGAGAGGTATGTACATGTTTGGTTCCATTGTGAAAGGTACATACATGTTAGGTTCCATTGTGAGAGGTATGTACATGTTTGATTCCATTGTGAGAGGTATGTACATGTTTGGTTCAATTGTGAGAGGTATGTACATGTTTGGTTCCATTGTGTGAGGTATGTACATGTTTGATTCCATTATGAGAGGTATATACATGTTTGGCTCAACTGTGAGAGGTATATACAAGTTTGGCTCAACTGTGAGAGGTATATACAAGTTTGGTTCGATTGTGAGAGGTATGTACATGTTTGGTTTGATTGTTCTAGGTATGTAAATGTTTGGTTCCATTGTGAGAGGTATGTACATGTTTGGTTTGATTGTGTGAGGTATGTACATGTTTGGTTTGATTGTGTGAGGTATGTACATGTTTGGTTTGATTGTGTGAGGTATGTACATGTTTGGTTTGATTGTGTGAGGTATGTACATGTTTGGTTTGATTGTGTGAGGTATGTACATGTTTGGTTTGATTGTGTGAGGTATGTACATGTTTGGTTTGATTGTGTGAGGTATGTACATGTTTGGTTTGATTGTGTGAGGTATGTACATGTTCGGTTTGATTGTGTGAGGTATGTACATGTTTGGTTCGATTGTGAGAGGTATGTAAATGTTTGGTTCCATTGTGCAAGTCTGGGTCCATTGTCTCCTTAGTTGCCATAAATTATACAATGTATAAAGAAATTTACCACACTAGGTAAAGAAATTTACTACACTAGGTAAAGAAACTTACCACACTAGGTCCAACCTCTTCCATATAGTCTTGAAAGAGGTCATCAAAAACAATCTCATTGTGTTTGACCTCAACATAATCTCTCGCCATTTCCCGCACTGTCTCCTTAACGATATCTTCAGACGCTTGCTGTACGGCATCGTTCAATAGTCGTGTAAGAAAGCTCTCTAATGGGTCACTTTCTGTCTGAGAGTAAAGCATGTACCTGAAAAATAGCAATACTTGGCTGTAATTTCATTAAAGGCCCAACATGCATTTAATTGTATATACAATATCGAAGGCCAAATAATATTAAGGGCCCAATTCATCAAACTTTACATAAGTGCAGTCAAACCTGTGTTAAAGATCACCTCTGAATAAAGATCACCATGTTGATAAAAACCATTTTTTTCAATAATCAATTGAGTAGAATAGAGTATCCCCAAAATAAAGACCACTTATCTATTAAGGCACTGTGTTTGGTTCTCTCCATTTGCTGACCTTTGTTCACAGGTTTTACTGTAGATGGTATTTTGTTTAAACTTCCAAACATGCACTTTTTAAAACATTATTATATCATGTTGTTCATTACACTTACATCTGAGCAGAATTGCATGTACTGAGTTAAGTTTGAATGCTGTAATTTTAATGTAACAATTTAATGGTCATCTTTCATACTAAATATGTAAACTTTGCTAAAAAAAAGCGTATATTTTTTTTCAAGAAATTTGATTAATGAGTCATGGAATTTTTGAAAATATCCTTATTATGTAAATACACAAAACTGATATAAATATAAAAACTATATCGTATCACATTCTACACACAATTTAAAGAACTACATGTACTAAAGTATAACTGCAATAATCTAAATAAAGACTAAAATTGAATGAATAATATATATGATATTCACATCAAAAAATGTTTTACCAATTCATTCTTCATAATATTTATATAATTATCTATCAAAATACATCTCTATTCATAATTTGTAACCATCACCGATAATTTACAACAATAATAACATAAATCATCTGTTTAAGGTGTTGACCCATTCTGAAATTTCCATTTTTATAAAGTTAAAAAAAGATAATCAAACATAATATTCTAGGTTATAAGAGTTTAGCTTAAAGTAAGTAAAATCATTTTAGAATGTAAGAGTTCTGCTCTGGTAAAGCTTTCAGACTTTCACAATGAGTCAATTAGCTTTTCATGGCTAGAAACAGCTAAAAATAGTTCAAAAATGTAACAGTGATGAAAAAATAATGTATCCTTCCACTATCATTCATAAGAACATCAGTTTGGTAACATTAACAAGAGATGTTGATAGGACAGAAACAAGACCCTGGATAGTTTAGAATTTTCTAAGATCAAAAAATGCCATATTTCTGTCAAAACCAATGTAAGAGTTATTGGGCCTTGGAAAGTGACCTATGATGCTCTCAAATAAGTGTGTGAAGTTTCAACCTATTCCCTGCAGTAGTTTTGGGGATACCAACTTGTACCCAAAAACCAAACAGAAACAGATGGCTATGTGGATGCTGATTGCAACGCCTGATCGAGTACAATAACTAAGCTCTCCCTGTTCTTTGAATAGTCAAGCTAAAATGAAGGCATTTGTTCTTTAACATTTTCTATTATTTTTCAAGAAACAAAAGAGTACACTTCCAAAACCAGTAGAGAAAACATTTTCAAACATGTGAGAAACTTAAGTCCATACATTTTCCCATACAAAAGTTTTCACTCTTCCAGAAACCAAACACATACATGTGGAGATACATTTGGTTAACCCTCAACTGTATAATTATTTAATAGGTACATATACATGTATTTATCAATATTCAAAGCAACTTATTTACCAACTTCTTTTATCAAAAACTTAATTAACCGTTTATTTTAATCAGCATTTTTCAGATTTTAACTTCCACTACCTAAAGCTGAGGCTTCAGATTCATGTCTAATTTTTCATCAAATATCGAATTTAGACAAGTCATAATTTTCTCAATACTAAAATAACAAAACATTGTCAATTCAAGTGTGCAAATAAAAGAAATAAGCACTTCAAATTTACATACAATACCAGAGTCCTACAATGAGTAAAAAATATGTCAGAACTGCCATCCATTTATTAGTTACAGGTTGAAAAATAATCAATTATGTATGCTGCTGAACTTTGCAAAAAACATACAAAGCACCACCTAGATTAATTGTTACATGTACATAACTCTTAACCCACTGCCTGCTGGGGGCAACTGAATGTACTGAAGCAACCAGTGCAGGCCAAGATCATTGCCTGCACTTTTTGTTGTTCAGTCAGTCCTTTTTTTTTAAGTTTCCCTAAATATGATGTATGGTTTTGTCCAGATTGAAAGAACTGGACAAGTCCATTTAAAATATTAAGTGTGGTTTTGGATTAAGTAAACCTAACTTTTTCATTTTACAGGATTTAGCTACCATCAAATTTACTAGCAATCTTAAGTAACCCTATCTTGATCCAAAATATGATAGAATGTGTATAATTTTGAACTTACGTAATCATTAAATCTTAATAATGAAATGATGATGAAATTGTCTCAGTATTGGTGATAATAATATTCTAATTAATTGAATAAATAAGTTGCTTTGAAACAGAAACATAGAAAATTCAGAAAGATTATTTCATCCAGCCCATGTTTAAAAAAAAAAAAATGATAGCAGAATCTAAGAGAAAAATTTCACTCATGCATTCCATATTTCCTGTGCTATCTTTTATTTTACCTGATACGCTTAGCCAAACGTGGTTTCCTGAAAACAACTCGTATATTGTACATCAATGGATATCTTTAAGCCTTAATAGAACAGGTTAACACAGTTATTTCATCTTGAAGGGTTTTTATATAGTCACATTAAGTGTAAACTTCCTCACTCAGGACAAATCAGTTGTAGCGTAATTTTAGAAAAAAAAATTGGCATGACTTCTGTGGTGCTCAAACCATTTATCATAGCTTTATAAGAGTCTATGCCTTAGATAAGCCTTTATGTTGCATGTTTTAAACCTGCATATTGAAAAATATAAATAGTTGTGTGCAACACAATCTTCTTTTCATTTAAATCATACGTGCAACAAAAAGTGTGTGAAATTCCCCATACAAAGGAAGTATCCCCCATCTAGGTTCTGGTTCTATTCACCCAAAACAAAACCATGCTTAATTAGCGCTTCTTTCTTCTAAATTAGGTAAGGCTATGTGAATTTACTGAATATATTGAATTTATTATTATATTTTATTCAACGAGTTCAAATTATTCAGAAATGAACCTTCTATCAATATAATATTCTATTAGTATCACATTCCCAAAATAAAGACTGTTTAAAGAGAAAAAGAATATTTTTTTCATTAAGCATATCTTTACTCTATGTTATTATAATGCAAATGATGTTACATCAAAATTTGTGCACGGCAGTGCCATATCATTTTTACAGAGTCACAAAAGGGGGATAATGTGATAAATATATTTGTTGTAAACAGTTACTTACTCATCGACGAGTTCATTAAGGGTCGTCCGCACTATATCGTGGGTTAAGTCATGCAAATCCTCGTCTAGAATATCGTCCCGTACATACTCAAATAAACTATCTATGGTGCTCGGCTGAAACAAGACATACACAAGTCATATTCATGTATACAAATCAACCTTTTTGTGAATAATATTTATCATAATAAATCTTATCAATTTATTTTATGATACATTATAAGACACTAATAAGTACTTAATTCATCTACTTTTATATTTATACAAAATGCTTGACAATGGTTTTCCAATATGTATACATATATAACTTTAAATCTTAATTGGAATGTAAATTGTTTAAACTATAATATAATATCAAACTTGTAAATATGAATTTTCAATATGGCATATTCCAGAAATATCTTAAGTACATAATCATTCATTACACACTTTTGTCAACATATCTGTCATAAAAGATCCTATTCTGTCGGATTCACATTTTTTTTTGAGACTTACTCTTTATAAAGAATTACCTGAAATACAAATACCCCTAAAATTGTCTCCCCATATCATTTAGAGAAAATAGTATTAAAAATTTAAATTTCTACAGATTGTCTAATCATATTATAATTGATCATTTATATTATATTAATATCATTAATATCATAAATATAAAATGATTAAAGAACAAAAAATCTATCTGTTCTCAGGGATAGAAAATTATAAATAATACAAGAGCAAAGTTTATCAAGGGGAAGACAAACCAAAAAGGGAAATAATCCCATTTAATTTCAAAACTTACTCTGTCACCTCCATTTGGGTACCAGACTACATGTATGAATTATGAAGTTTAAAGAAATAAAACACTTTTGATTGTTAACAAGAAATGAAATTGCATGCATTTATACAAATGCAACTTCAACACATATAAGTTAATTGTGAACATTTGCATATAACAATTTGAGTTTTCATTTCAACTACAAATGTCTAGCATACTATGAAAGGTGCTTTGCATTATACTATGAAACTAGTGAGTTTAGCATATATATGTTAATCTAGTGTGCTTAGCATAACTGATGCTATTTCAGCCTTTCACCAGAATACTTAGCATATAAGTGATGTTATTTTAGCTTTTCACAAGGATACTTTACTTAGCATAAGTGATGTTATTTTAGCCTTTCACAAGGATACTTAGCAAAAGTGACATTGTTTTAGCTTTTTACTAGTGTATTTAGCATAAGTGATGTTATGCTAGCTTTTGACACTAGTGTACTTAGCATAAATGATGTTATTCTAGCTTTTCACTAGAATGCTTAATGCAGTTGATGTCCTTATTGTTTCTTAACAAACTTCAGCTAGCATAATTCTTGTACTTTAGCTTTAAAAGTAAAAGTCGCTTAATTAGCATATGAAGTCATTTTATCATAGAAACTTAGCCTAGTATAGTTACACTTGTTTTGTGACTGTTCATGAGCATCAATACCCTAGTAGCCTTTGTTTTTGGAGGTATTTTCCATGACTTAACCATCACAACTAGAACTATCACTAAATGTGATTAATACCCCCACAAGACTGCTTCGGAAATGAGGATTTTACTAGTAACAGAATACTTTGTAAAAGAATTGAAATATAGAGTTATGGTTGTGGGCAATTAAAGATAGTTGTGGTTCTTATATGTTGCATTTCCTTTCAATGTGGTTGGCCATTGATGAAGTTTAATTGAATTACTCTGTAATAAGTCCAGAAATACAAAGAAAAGGAACAAAGGGCAATAACTCTATAAATACTGAAGATAGAGTTATAGTTCTTGTGCACTGCACTTCCTCTTATTGTGCTTGACCATTGTATGAAGTTGTTTTGAATTCCAACCAGTACGTTTTAAGTTATGCTCCTGACAAGGAAAAGTATCAAAGGGCAGTAACTCTGTATTTTGTCAAAATGGAGTTTTGGCTCTTGTGCACTGCACTTCCTTTTAATGTCCTTGACAACTGTATGAAGTTGTATTGAATTCCAAACAGTTGTTTTCAAGTTATGCTCTGGACAAGGAAAAGTACCAAAGGGCAATAACTCTGTAATTAGTCAAGATGGAGTTATGGTTCTTGTGCACTGCACTTTCTCTCAATGTGCTTGACCATTGTATGAAGTTATATTGAATTCCAACCATTAGTCTTCAAGTTATGGTCCGGACAAAAAAGGCAATGGAAAAGTAACAAAGGGCACTAACTCTGTAATTACTTTAGATAGAGTTATGGTTCTTGTGCACTGCACTTCCTCTCAATGTGCTTGACAATTGTATGTAGTTATATTGAATTCCAACCATTATCTTCAAGTTATGCTCAGGACAAGGAAAATGCAACGGACGTCTGGACCGACCGACCGCCCGACCGACCACCAGGTGACTCCTATATACCCCCCCCCAAACTTCGTTTTTGGGGGTATAAAAATGTCAAAAAGCACAAAAGCGACGTATAAAGTTATGGAAGCCAGAACTAGCATGTACTCTTCTACTCCAAGGTAATATTGCTGGATTGCACACCACCTGGAAGACATATTCCTCTGACTGCCCCAACAAGAAAGGATCATAAAGCCAGTTGCAGAATTCAAACCCATAAACTTGTTCACAAGTTTATAGATCTTAAGTCAGTGTAATACAGTATCCTTCTCATCATGACCTTTCTGTTACTTGGCTTAGAAATTAAGAAGCAATACTGCTTAATGTGAGAAGCAGTCTGTTTTAAAAAATGAAAAGATGATTACTTTTCCAGTCAATTCTATTTAAAACAAGAGCTGTCAGTAGGACAGTGTGCTCGACATTTGTCAATGCTTGGTATTACAAACAAGAGCCTACATAATGTAGAATTTTCTAAGACTACATGTATGACAAATCTGATCCTTTTCTGGAAGATTTTCAGTTTGACATTCATGTGATACACTTGTATTCAAAATATTTGATATATTAAATTGTGCCAAAATGCCCACTCTGTGTTGCCACATTTCAAAGCTACATTTTAAATGAATTTTAACATGTTGACATGTTGGTTTCGTTCTGTATTAGTCAATGTACCTTAAATATGACATCTAAACGTAAAGCTTGCAATAACACTGAAAACAGTCAAAATACCCTGTGAAAAAAGCCAAGCTGTGAAAAAAGCCCTAGAATATAATGGAAGAAAGGTCTAGATTGAACAGTTTTCTAAAAATACACCTGCTGTATATATTTCTATGTGTGTTCGTGCAATTTCTGAAGCATTGTGAATAATTTACCGATCTGCCAATCTCATTTAGCGCATCTATCATTATATCGGGGATAAACTCGTCTAAAGCGTCATTTACAAATGACGTTACAAAATTCTCAGAAAATAATGGGTGATCTTTCATGTAAAATGCTAACAATCTGTCCTGAAAATCAAATACAGTATTGGTTTAAAAAGAAACAGTCAACAGATAAAAGACAATAAATGAAAACTGTATGATAACAAGAAAATGGGTAAGAAGGAGTTACAATTAACAAGAATTGTCAGGTATTAGAAAAGTATAGTAACAATTTTCTTTTTCTAAAATCTAGGGGTATCAGAGCAGTTTCTGTCCGACAAATGTATCGTGGAAAGTATTTCAAATTCAGTACTTCTGACAACGATCAAATTCAATATGTTGCCACCTTTTCTCTTTATATTTATGGGTACTTGTTTAAATATTTTATTGCAACTTTAGATCATTTTTATTTTAAAAAAAAAACAACAGTGAAACAATCTCTACAATATACATTTTCAATCTAATTAAAGATGTTCTATAAAAATATTTTTCAATAATCTCAGTAATCACACAGAAACTGCTCTAATAACAGTAAATGTTTACATTATTAAAAGATTCTATTTCAATTATGTTATTTGCCCATGACAACAATCCTGAAACAATAAGTCAAAAAGGAATGATGTAAATCTAATGCTACTTTAGAAGAGATCATTAGTAAAGCACAACTTTAAAGTAGCCTCATCTCTTCACCCCACCCTCATTCCCCAATGATAAACATGGACTTTAGACTATGAAACTTAAGTAAATGCATGGTTCAAGTCACGCTCCAAGGTGACCACTTGCACTTTACTTGTTTTGTTTGCTGAAAAAACAATACAACAGCAGTCACCAGGGTTTTGCTGAGAGTGTGAGTAGGTAATAATAAAAAACACAGCTCATTTCCCAAACTGTCTCCTACTCTCTTTACTGGCACATTTAAATAGTAATAAAGGATAATAAAACAAGAGGGCCATGATGGCCCTGAGGTCGCTCACCTGTATATAGCCCCCCCCCCCCAATGTTGCAGGGCCAATTTAACTCAAGGGCTTTTATTTGCACAAACTTGGTAGACACCCATAAGAAGATGTTTCATGCTAAACATCTAAGCTCTAGCTCATTGGGCTTTTTAAAAGAAGATTTTTTTAAAGTTTTTACTATACACATATAGTTAAAAACAATGACACCCCTGGGGCCGGGCCAGTTTTGACCCCACGGCTTTTATTTGAACAAACTTTGTAGACACTTACTAGAAGATGTTTCATGCTTAATATCTAAACTCTAGCTATTTGAGTTTTTTCAAAGAAGATTTTAAGTTTTTGCTATACACATATAAAGAAAATCAATGACCCCCGGGGCGGGGCCAATTTTGACCCCAGGTCTTTTATTTAAACAAACTTTGTAGACACTCACTAAAAGATGTTTCATGCTTAATATCTTAACTCTAGCTATTCGGGTTTTTTCAAAGAAGATTTTTTAAGTTTTTGCTATACACATATAAGGAAAATCAATGACCCCCTGGGGCGGTGCCAATTATGACCCCAGGGCTTTTATTTGAACAAACTTGGTAGACACCTATTAGAACATGTTTGATGCTAAATATCTTAGCCATAGCTCTTTGAGTTCTTTAAAAGAAGATTTTTTATGTTTTTACTATATGCATATAGGGAAAATCAATGACCCCCGGGGCGGGGCCAATTTTGACCCCAGGGCTTTTATTTGAACAAACTTGGTAGACACTTATTATAACATGTTTCATGCTAAATATCTTAGCTCTAACTCTTTTGGTTCTTTAAAAGAAGATTTTTTAAGTTTTTACTATATGCATATAGGGAAAATCAATGACCCCCTTGGGCGGTGCCAATTTTGACCTCAGGGCTTTTATTTGAACAAACTTGGTAGACACCCATTAGAACATGTTTGATGCTCAATATCTTAGCCATAGCTCTTTGAGTTCTTTAAAAGAAGATTTTTTAAGTTTTTACTATATGCATATAGGGAAAATCAATGACCCCCCGGGGCGGGGCCAATTTTGACCCCAGGGCTTTTATTTGAACAAACTTGGTAGACACCCATTAGAACATGTTTCATGCTAAATATCTTAGCTCTAGCTTTTTGGGTTCTTTAAAAGAAGATTTTTTAAGTTTTTACTATATGCATATAGGGAAAATCAATGACCCCCCGGGGCGGGGCCAATTTTGACCCCAGGGCTTTTATTTGAACAAACTTGGAAGACACTCACTAGAAGATGTTTCATGCCAAATATCTAAGCTCTAGCTCTTATGGTTTTTTAAAAGAAGATATTTAAAGTTTTTTCTTTCGGTTGCCATGGCAACCAGAGTTCTGCATGGAATTAAATTCTTTGAACAATTTTTAAAGGTGACCACCAAATGAACATTCCTGTGAAGTTTGGATGAAATTGGCTTAGTGGTTTATGAGGAGATGTCATTTAAAGAAAAAGTTTACGGACGACGGACGGACGACGGACGGACGGACGGACGGACGGACGCCGGACGAAAAGTGATCACAAAAGCTCACCCTGTCACTTTGTGACAGGTGAGCTAAAAAAAGGATTACACACAACATGAACAAATATTAACTTTTGACATAAAATAACAAATACTAACAAATACACATTCAAGAAAGAAAGGAATAAAGAATGGATGAATGTGATATTTGACCAAAAAAGTTGAAGGTTAAAGTAACTTAATAAATAAAATATATAAACAAGTATACAAACATAAAAAAATGCAGTAGAGAATTACAATTATAGTTTCAATCCATGCTAAACTCTTGATGCTCTTTAACAATGTTGAACCAGTTCTTGTCTAACAATATTAGTCATAAATACTTCCTTAAAAATGCATATGCATATTTCACATTACAGAAATTGTTTTATACGCTTTTACTAGTGATTGAGTAGTGATAGAGAAAAGCTGTTTATATATATGATCAACTTTTGACATTTGACCTGGCATGTATGACCTTGACTTTTGAGCAACATACAATGGTGTCTTGTTTCAATGAGCCCAACAATTCCACATCAACTCATCTAGTTGCAATGAAAAGGTCTTAAGATAACATTTGACATTACCTCTAAATTTCGCCTTGACCTTTGATCTACTGGGCACACAGATTTGATACACCGCACATTATCTTGTGATGGTTGAGTTTTATATGGAGAGTCATTAGAAAATTCTAATCAAAATATTGGTCCTGGCAACCTAGCTACTAGTAAGTATAATTTTAGAACATTGACATTTGACTTGTAAAAGTGACCATGACCTCTGTTCTGGATACAAATTTATTATGTGTGATACATTAAGCAAACTGCAAAGCAAGTTCTTGCAACTTATACTAATCACTTTCGAGTCTGCTTGCTGGAACTCAACCAGAACTGGTGTCAAAAGAGGTAACAAGAAGTCAAAGATCTAAATTGTTTTACATTCATGCTAACAAATTCTTTGTTTTTTGTTGGTTTTTTTTCCCCATCTATTTTAAAGAAAAATGGAATTGAAATGTATAAACATTTCCTAAAAGTGGTGTCATGCACAATAAAAAGAAGAGAAAGTAAAAAGATAACAACGTGTTTTTAGAGGACAAAACATTAGTTCATACCTGTCCATTACAGTACGCAACTTTTATAGACAAAAACAACATATAATAACATTTTAAAGAATAAAATCACATTGTGGTAAAAACTGCTCATAACAGAAAAAAAGTAAATGTTGATTTGCCTTTTTGTCAAAAATCTTAATTAAACAAAAATGTATTAACTTTTCTAATGTTATTAAATTTTATTTACTTTTGTATTAAGTTTTCTTCTTTTTTTTTGGTTGTTTTTTTTTTGGCAGGGTTAGGAGTTGGGGGGAGGGGGTTTGATAGAATGTACATTTATATATCAAGGGTCTTAAGTCAGACCTAGACCATAAAGGTCAAATGGTAACTTTCTGGTAGATGAAGAACTTAAATGCCTCTGTGTGCATTATTTCGGGCACTTGTGTTAAACCACCAACCTGTCTTAAGCTACCTGGATAGCTTCCTCAAATGAGGTTACTTGCAAAGGCGGTATATGAAATAACATTTTTTTAACTGCAACACAAAAATCTCTGTACATCAATAAAACTTTTTTCTTCCTGTATCTAGAGTCTAATTTCTTATGATCGTTTGGGTAATTAGGTTAAAGGTTAAGGAAATTTGTTAGTTATGAATTTATGGGAACAGTAACAGTTAATTCATTAGTATTGAATTATAAACATCAAATAAAATTGGCAAAATAAAATTACAAATGAAAATTTATCAAAAATAAAATCTTACAGGTTCATCTTTGAATCTGTTATACACGTTATTCCCGTGCATTTCTGATGGTGAATAGGGCGTGTCTCGTGGATCAATATACTACAATATATAAAACTCAATAAATACCACATAATACAACATATATAAACATACTTTTACAGTTTAAACAATAAAATAAATCAACCATATACATTTCTTTTTTTTGTATGGTTTTGAGGTTTTGGTTCCTAGCTCAGGCTTGTTGACAATCTCAGGTATAAATATTTTACAAAAAAATCACATCATAATGGAATATCATTAAAATTTTGATGAACCTTCTGATAATTTAGCTAAACTATGTCATGTGATTAATGGTCAAATAAAAATGTCTGCATCACAACAAAACTAGCCTAGCTTTTAAACTTTCACACAAATATACCAATATATAAAGCCACAATACTGACTAACTTGGCAAAAAAAACCCCAAAAAACTGTTCTTTACTACCTTTGTTATAATAGTTAGCAAATTAATAATATAAAACAAGAGCTCCTCATGTGGTGTTTACGCTTGCCTAGTAAAACTAGAACTCCGCGAGTCGGATGTGTCGCCTTGTGAACAATGTAGTTTAGGGGAAATGGCCAGGACAAAAATGAAATATGAAAAATAACAAAGGGCAATAACTAAAAAAATAATACGTGCAGAGCAGCATTTCTGTACACTGCACTTCTTATCAATAAGATCTATCATTCTATGATGTTTCAAGTCCATAGCTTTCATACTTGAGGAGAAATGACCAGGACAAAAATAAAGTAAGAAAATCAACAAAGGGCAATTACTCAAAAATAAGAAATGCAGAGTATCAGTTCTTATGCACTGCACTTCTTTTTAATGAGATCTATCATCCTATGAAGTTTCAAGTCCATAACTTTTATACTTTCGGAGAAATGGCCTGGACAAAAATTAAGTATGAAAATTAACAAAGGGCCATAACTCAAAAATTAAGAAATGCAAAGTACCGATTCTTGTGCACTGCACTTCTTAATAATGAGATCTATCATCCTATGAAGTTTCAAGTCCATAGCTTTTATACTTAAGGAGAAATGGCCCGGACAAAATTAAAAAATGAAAATAAACAAAGGGCAATAACTCAAAAAAATAAGAAATGCAGAGTGCAAGTTCCTGTGCACTGCACTTCTTCTTAATGAGACCTATCATCCTATGAAGTTTCAAGTCCATGGCTTTTATACATTAGGAGAAATGGCCCGGACAAAAATAAAGTATGAAAATTAACAAAGGGCAATAACTCAAAAATTAGGAAGTGCAGAGTACTGGTTCTTGTGCACTGCATTCTTAATGAGATCTATCATCCTATGAAGTTTCAAGTCTATAGCTTTTTTAGTTGAAGAGAAATGGCCCGGACAAAATTAAAGTATGAAAATTAACAAAGGGCAATAACTCAAAAAATAAGAACTGCAGAGTACCGGTCCTTGTGCACTGCACTTCAGGTTATTGAAAAAAGCATGCATACCAAGTTTGAAGTCAATCAGACTTATAGTGACTGAGTTATGCTCCGGACAAGCTTTAGCGGACGCCGACGCCGACAACGACGCCGACACAGACGCCGCCGACAAAAGTAACCCCTATATGTCACCTTTTCAAGGCAACACAAAAAGGGGGCATAATTCCAAAAATATTGCTTTTACAAATTAAGCCCATGTTAAACAACTGCACCTTGTCATCCAAGTTGTCATCAAAAGATAACTTAGAAAAATGTTTGAATGATGGGCTGTATTAAAAATTTTGCACCACAATAATGACGCCCAGAGATCATAAAAGCTAAAATTGAAACAGTCAAGCTAAAAACGATGCTGGAAAACAAAAAGTTTGTGCTCCTATTTAAACAAGATCCTCCATGAAAGCTCCTCAAAAGTATATAGTACATACAATATAAATAAAGCACTTGAACAAATTGTTTAATTGTACAACAAATTCATTATCATAAGTATAATGTATACCACCCTTTTTACCTTATATCTACCATCTTTCTTTCCTTTCCCATAAAAGTCATCACTGCTATAGTATTGGGGATAAATATATGTTGGAAAACCAGGATAGCCCATGTAGCCATTCATGGGATGTTGAGGTTGACTAAAATGAACACGTTGATTTTGTTTCTTTTTTGACTTCAATGGTAATGACCGGTTAACATCTTCATATCGCTCGGCAAGTGGTTGTCTCGACTGACCAGGACTTCTGCGTGCATTTTGTGGCCGGTCGTAATCATTTTCTGTTTTTTGACGACGTTTTCTTTGTGATTTTGCAGGTGGAGGTGGTGGTGGGTAGAATACTGGAAATGGTGCACCAAACACTACTTGTGGCGGTGCCGCATATTGGTGTGGGTATGGCATGTAATGTCCAGGATCTACGTCCGGCTCATCATCACTCTCCTCACCCCAACTGTCATAATCTGTGTGCCTGAAAAGAAAAATGAAATTGTGTGTCTTTGTGTAAGACATGATCTTTTTTGGTGTCGATTTCAAAATTGACTTTAGATTTTATATATCATTACATAAAAAACTTTTAGTACTTTGTCCATGTGAAAAACAGAAGCCCAACTAAGATATCATATTACCAACAATGACTTGACATTGTTGAGTCAGCAACTTCCTGAAATTAACCAGTGCTGGAGCCATATTAAGAAACATTGTAGTTACTCAAGAAGCATTTAAACAATACATATGAGCTGCGTCATGACAAAACCAACATAATGGGTTTGCGACAAGCATGGATCCAGACCAGCCTGCACATCCGCGCAGTCTGATCAGGATCCATGCTGTTCCCTATCAATTTCTCTACTTGTACTAGATTTGGTAAGCGAACAGCATGGATTTTGATCAGACTGTGCTGGTCTGGATCCATGCTGGCCGCAAACCCAGTATGTTGGTTTTGTCGTGACGCGGCTCATATTAAATTTGTTAACACATTAATAAAGTTGAAAAATTGAATTAGATGTTGCAAAAAGAAATATTTTATTATACACATTGTATAAAATCGGGATAATTCATAAAATCATGTCTTAAAAACTTAGTTTTATAATTACAGTAGTCATTTGAACATAAACCCCATGGGATGACAAGGAATTTGATAGTTGGCAATGGTAACTGGGTTAACAGATGGCTAAATCCCACTCTAATGTCACCCAACACTGCTAGCTAGGGCATCCAAGCTTATGCCTTATGTCTACTATAAATTTCCTCCCAAAAAAAACCCTGAAGTATTATATTCTGACATCTCACACAGTTTGAAGATAAAAACACCATTCATTTCCCTTTTCATCTCTACAGGGGGTAGGCATTTTACAAAATACTACTGCATAATGTAAATTTTACAGAAATTCGAGGGATGGAAAAATTATAAAAAAATACAGTAAGAACCAAGAGAGATAACTATCCCATTACTATTTTGAGAGAGGAGTAAGGGAGTAACCTCTCATTATCAATTCATATTATAATCAAGGAAGCTATATTCTTATCAAGTTTATTACACTCCAAATGATAGTAGTGATAATAAACTATGGGCCTTCAATACAAAATTAAGTCAGGCCAGCTTGAACTATTTAAACATACTGATATTTTATAAATGGACTCTTTCAACCTCATACATATATCTGATGACAAGTCACCTCATACAAACAAACCAACTTGTATAAGATATGGACTCAAAATTAACTTGTATATTACATGAACTCAAAATTAACTTGTATATTACATGAACTCAAAATTAACTTGTATATTACATGAACTCAAAATTAAATTCATCCCTGTTAAAGTAAGACTTTATAAATACAGTAGTTGAATACACTGGCACTTTCAAATAAAAGAAAAATTACAATTTCTGAATATTTGCATTTTGTACATGTAATAGGAGTCCCAGTTATTATATCTATAATTTATGTGTACATATCTATCCAGCTGATCTTTCAGTGATAACAAATCATCATTTTTGAAAAACCTTTATCTTACATATGTCAGCACGATCTACATGTGTATATACGTACACTCCAACTAGGTTATATCACCTCATTACATATTTGATATTATATATGACATACATGTATATACTAAACCAAAACACTGATTTCACCCTAAGCTTGCTGGTTATGTCCATTGTACAGCAAAAGATTCTACCCATGTGACCAGTGCAAACCAAGATCATGGTCTGCCCTGCTCTGTGACTTTTCACACAGTATATAGTTAGAAATTTACCCTAAAATAGATGAGTAGTTTTGTCTAAACTGAAAGATTGACAGGTCCATTTAAGATATTGCACTTCAAAGGGTTAACAAGCTACAGTCAGTAATCCAGGGTCCCCTACCTCCACATATGTGCACAAAATAGCAAGCAAACAAACCAATATTTTACCCTCTGGTTGTCACATTTAGACCACCATGTCAATGCAGTGGTTTAAGGATGAAAATGTGTAACCTGTAATGTATTTCTGGTTATTTGGCAAAGATTTTATCATCTTACTATTCCCACAGGGTGACCATTACCAGGAGTTTGATAAATGGATTCCATGTTATTTAACCTTGGGTGAGATGCTAGGACAACAACTGAAATTGTGCATTATTAAAATTTTGTAATGTACATGAAAAATTCAATCCATTTAAGTTATTTACCTTAAGTTATTAACCTGGGTAATGGTTAAAGCATCATTAAGCTTTTATAAATGTTAAATATGTTATTTTTAGATAAATCGTTAAGTATAATTGTCAAATCTAAAGAATTAATGTTGAAAATGGAAATTGCCGATGATAAAATAAATAAATAATACGGAAACCCCTCAATACCTCTATTCTTCTAGTCCACTCTCTATATTCAAATTAGTTAAGCGAACGAATATTTTCCCGATCTTCTATTTTTAGAAACAAACAGTCACTTACACATTATAAAGAGCTCTCGGAACGCTGGCTTTAAAGAAGGCTAATATTGGGCTTAAAAGTGATATGATGCACTTTTCTAAGATGAAACAAGCAAATTCGATGAATTTATATCCCCCGCCGAGTACTGGTTATTATTAACACAACAACTGAAGACATAAGGCTTTATTTATATATTAATCATGGCATAAACAGTAATATTCTTTGAACTTGATAAATATTCAGGGAAATGACAGAGCCATAACTTTGTGTTAAATAGTAAAATCTGGAAATGCCAATGAGATGTATGCATACTACATAACTAATCAAGGGCCATAACTCTGAGTTAAAGTGTCTGACCAGAACAAGCCGATGATATGCGCATCTCCTCTTGGTATTGAAGGTTCCCATAAAGTTTTGTTGAATTCCAGCCAGTAGTTGCAGAGAAGTAGTGCGGAAACAATTTTTACTCTATATGCATACTACATAACTAATCAAGGGCCATAACTCTGAGTTAAAGGGTCTGACCGGAACAAGCCGACGATATGCGCATCTCCTCTTGATATTGATGATTCCCATAAAGTTTCGTTGAATTCCAGCCAGTAGTTGCAGAGAACTACTCCGGAAATGATTTTTACTCCATATGCATATTGCATAACTAATCAAGGGCCATAACTCTGAGTTAAAGTGTCTGACCCGAACAAGCCGACGACATGCGCATCTCGTCTTGGTATTGAAGGTTCCCATAAAGTTTTGTTGAATTCCAACCAGTAGTTGCAGAGAAGTAGCACGGAATCGATTTTTGCGATGATATGAGCATCACCTCTTGATATTGATGATTCCCATAAAGTTTCGTTGAATTCCAGCCAGTAGTTGCAAGAGAAGTAGCGCGGAAACGATTTTTACTCTATATGCATACTACATAACTAATCAAGGGCAATAACTCTGAGTTAAAGTGTCTGACCGGAACAAGCCGACGATATGCGCATCTCCTCTTGGTATTGATGATTCCCATAAAGTTTCGTTGAATTCCAGCCAGTAGTTGCAGAGAAGTAGCGCGGAAACGATTTTTACTCTATATGCATACTACATAACTAATCAAGGGCAATAACTCTGAGTTAAAGTGTCTGACCGGAACAAGCCGACGATATGCGCATCTCCTCTTGATATTTATGATTCCCATAAAGTTTCGTTGAATTCCAGCCAGTAGTTGCAGAGAACTACTCCGGAAACGAAATTCAGACGGACGGATGGACGGACGGACAAACGGACGGTCAGATGCGCATCTCCTCTTGTTATTGATGATTCCCATAAAGTTTCGTTGAATTCCAGCCAGTAGTTGCAGAGAACTACTCCGGAAACAAAATTCGGACGGACAGATGGACGGACGGACTGAAGGACGGACGGACGGAAAACGTCAAAACTATATAATAAATAATTAATAATAATTAATAAAATACATAGTTTGAAACAACAAAGAATTGTTTTCCTACAGAAAATAAAAGCTAATAGCTACTTTAAAGAGGCATAAAATTTTAAAAAGAGGCAAACAATTTTCAAACATTTTCTAAATACCTAGAGTCATGTCCCCTGGCATCCCTCACTGGTGGAACCACCTCATACCTATTGCCTCGAAGTTTGGAACCTTTTCTTCTCTGATCTGGTGGTGTTTCTAATCTGAAAAATTACATATCAGAATGCTTTATTTAACCATAGAGCTTTTATCACAAATTTACCATTAAAAAATGATAAATTTGTATAATATGAACTTGACTGTCTTTGAGTTTGGAACATTACATTTGTTATCAAGGGATTTCAGGTATGTCACCAGCAATTTAGAGTCTGGTTTAACGACATCGGCAAGCTGGTCAATCTAGTTTTATATTGGTAGCGAAGGTCTGAAATTTTTGCCACTAGCACTCCGAATGTCGGTGATTCTTCTCAGGTGCCCTTCAGTGCCATTGAAATAATGCTCGGAAGGGCAGCTGAGGTCTTCCTCCAACAGTATATCTGCAAAGTTGCCATATGACCTATACTGTGTTGGTGCTACATAAAACCCAACCAATGAAAAATAATAAAGCCACCTGCACTCAAGCGGTCAATGTACATTGTATATGCATATTTATAAATGTATCAGTAATTAAACAAAAGATAACAATATCTGATCACATGGGGTATTCACCATGACATACCAACAATTTCTAGTTCCTGATATACTGCATTCTAGCTCATCCATTCAGATTAGATAATGCAGTATTCAAGTTTTTTTCCGAGTGGTGTAAAGTTAACTAAACACAACATTTTTGGTTATGCCATGTCATTTCCTTGAACAAAATAAAATGCATATTAAAAAGACAAGATGCTAAAAGCTAGTGTCACTATTGAAAACTATTTTTTTGTAAAGAATTAAGTCAAATTGGTATAAGATGACTTTCCAACATTTCAATAGTGATTTAAATGTGGATCATGATGCAGTTCAGATGATAGCACTGGCAATGTGCCAAGATTTTGCCATGTGTTTGACCATATATTACTAGGTCAGGGCCAAAACAGCACAAGATATTTCAAACTAAGTCAGTTTGAAAGCATTTAGCAGTCAAAATGCATTGTCAACTAATTGTTCAAACAGGGTGGGTTCTTTTAATTGGGTTAATCTCATTTTTAGAAATTTCTAGTTGGTCTTTTGTTACTGGTTTAAAGTAAGTCTTGTATGAAAAGGGCAACCATATTTTGCAATATGTTTTGAAGCATAAGGCACTGATCTATTTGTCTTTGCTCTAGGGTCCTCTGAGCTCCTCTCCTCTAGAGAATCAAGCAGGGCTAAGTGCTATTGTAGTCTTTTTTGACCCAGCTGCAGTTTCACGCTGCATTAACTCTATTTGGTCAATGAGACCTCGAGTGTAAGTGACCAAAATACACAACTTGAAGTGTCTTGAAGGCTGTACTTTGAAGTGGTTAAGGGTGGACCTTGATATTTTGTTGCAGGAAGCCTAGTGTTTGGTTTGCTTTTTTAAACAAAGTTGACAATGTGAGTGTTCCAAGTCAGATTTTTTTATTTGGTACACTTTGCTGATGGTACTGATAATCTAGGATGGTAATTGTGCAAGGTATATTATGTTAGTATTGGAGTCTTCCATTTGTGATCTGAATGCCTTGACATTCTAAAGGATTGAGGGATCCTTTGTGAAGTGGCAAAACTTGGTTTATACAGAATTAAACTAATTAGTTTGATTGTGTAGGAAGCTATAAGCTTAAAGATACACTTTCAAATCTGTTCCTGGAACAGACCAATGCTGAGTAAAAACTGTAAAGTTTCTTGCTTTGTCCCTGTTAGGGTTTGAACCCATGTACCTAGCAATCATTAGATTACTTGTCTGATGTTTTAACCACTCTGCCATGCTGCCACTTGGCAAAAGTTGAAAATGCCTATAAGAGGCCTCAATTTTATGTAAATAAAATCCAAACTGATTTTTTCAACTCACCTAGGAAGATAAGGAGGTGTTGACTTCCTGTATTTCCCTAACGGTGAATGGTTGTTTTGCCGATTTCCGCCTACAGGACTTTTCAATGGAGACCATGCCTTAATTGGAGATTTTCTATCACTAAGCTGTGTCTTTATTCGTGTCAATCTGGAAAAAAATGTCATTAATGTGTCACATGGGGGAAAAACAATATGCAGTCTGACGGAGACTTGAACCTGGGACCTTTTTCATTAACAAGTACTAATGTAGCAATGATAAACATGAAAACCACTATTAAATTAAATCATATTTCATCATGTTTAAACACATCATTCTGATTAGAGGTTAACAATTGACCTAAACAAAAGCCTTCAGGACTAGAATTTAACAATTTTTCTACTTATACAATCATTTGTATGGTGATAATTACACATTTTTATATATTTTTTTTAAATGTAAATATTTCATTTTAATCCAAAAAAAATCCGGAAACATATTGCAAATATGACTAAGGCAAAGCCTCAAAGCTAACTCTGACAGAATTTTAAAACATAAACACTAGAGGTTATATGTATTTATGAAACCCATCGGCGGCTGCAAGTTTTTTACTACACTTTCGGGGGCAATTGATTCACTCAACACTGCCAATGATTTAAAACTACACACTAGTGACTTTACTTTAGAAATATGGCTGTTTTATTTGATAACTACATTAAATTCACCCACCATAAATTCACTATAAATCAAATTTTGAAAAAATGATCCAAATTTATAATTCCATTTCAGGAAAAGGATATTGTGAAACGGGAACCTACCAGAAGTTGATATTCATTAAGCATCTATTTTAATTTCATTCTTTATCCTATTGAAAGTCGATTATTTTGACTGTAATTTATCAAATATTATTCAGTACACTAGAATCGGTCAAAATTTACATATTTTACTAAGAGTCCCATTTCGGGAAAAGTACTTTTGCGAAACTATGTATATTTGGATTGGTGGTAATCGACAAGGTGTTCAAAATGTCAATTTTGGATGGGAACAGGGAACCAGATCATACTGATTGCTGGCTGGTTCTTGAATCATAATGCAGGGAACTGGAATGTACTGATTCTCAGCATGCTCCAAAAGTAATAGGACAGGGAACCAAAATATACAAACAATATACATGGAAATTACAAATATAGTTGATTGACAAAACAATAAAATCACACATTTCATCAATGGAGAAGAATATGACATTACAAATTCTTATTCTTAACCAAATCATCATACAAGAACTTTTAAGAAACAATGTTAACAAGTTTAAAGCCACTGACCTCCAGATGGTTAAATGAAAAAAATGAAATAGAATTTCAAGTAAATGGTAAATACGGATCTAGTTAGGTTTATTGTATAAGTCCATCATTACTGACATTTTTAAATTCAAGAAAGAATGCTGACAAAAGCGTTAATATATCGGGTTTTCTTTTCCATAATCTACTACGTTACTAACACAGTAGCCAATATAAATAGGAGAAGATAATTCATTTAACATGGTCACATGTCACAACAGTGATCCGGAAAAATCCCAGTATCCGGTATGCCCGGGATCGTTTATCAATTTTCGTCCTTAAGTAGGCCCCTATCACATTTCAAGCTAAAGGTTAAATTGATAAAATGGTCATCATATAATCATATGAAATAATTAATCAATTATAATTTTAGTGCCATTAATTACTACAAATATAACAAGAGCTGTCGGTAGGACAGCAACGCTCGACTATTCTTAGTGCTTGATAGTAAGAAAAGCCTTGATTAAAAGGTAAAATTTTCTCAGTAAAGAAAAAGGCAAATTTTTTTGTTTAAATCCTTATACAGTTATAGGCCTTGGAGAGAGTCCTACTAGTATGCTCTCAAAGAAGAATTTAAAATTTCAACATGTTTCAAAGCCTTATGTCAATGAACTTTGAAAAATATTTGAGGTACATTGTATTACAAAAACTTTAACGTAAATTCTAAGTCGAAAAATGGGCATAATTCTGTCAAAATGCTTGATAGAGTTACCATTTCCTGTCTACAGGTTGGGGTCATGATGGTGAACAAGTGTGCAAAGTTTCAAAGCCATATGTCAATGGACTTTGAAAATATTTGAGGTATCACAAAAACTTTAACGTAAATTCTAAGTCGAAAAAGGGACATAATTCTGCCAAATGCTTGATAGAGTTACCTCCTCCTGTCTACAGGTTGGGGTCATGATGGTGAACAAGTGTGCAAAATTTCAAAGCCATATGTCAATGGACTTTGAAAATATTTGAGGTATTACAAAAACTTTTAACATAAGTGGTTACGCTGATGCCGACACTCGGGTGACTACAATAGCTCTACTTATTCTTATCGAATAGTCGAGCTAAAAACAAAAGCAGTTATTCGTATCCCTATATGTTTGATAAAATCCCGGATTCCGTGCGTTCCGGAGCACAGGTCGCAATATTGTCCTGTACAATCACGTGATACTAGAAAAAACCCAGATGAAAGAATTCCGTGGTATAATAAAAGAAGGTATTTCCCGTTGTTGGAAAAGTTTCAGTGCAATAATGTTAAAATATGAACATTTTGAAGCGTCATTCGATTTCTATTAACTATATAATGTTTTTGAGCACAGACACTTGGGGTTTAGAGCTCAAAACGCCTTTAAAATCCAAATAAAATGCATATTTGTCAATCCCAGCACATGTACTGATCATATATATCAAAAAAACTTAATATAAGCCGTTTTGAAAAAATTTCATATTTCAACATCTATAATTATTATAGATAAAGTTAAATGCTTGTCTGGCGGGGGGGGGGGGGTGTATTTTTTTTTAGAAGTACACTTAAAAGTCAATAAACGGCCGCATAATTTACATAAGCAGCCCAGATATTAAAGGTCATGCGCGACCAGTTTTGTCTATCAAATTGTGTGACACTAAGAATATATACATAATTATAATAATAATATAAAATTATAATATTACACCATCTTTACATCAAAACATATACACGACAATACGTATTGCAATATATTGCAATACGCTAGGCAAAATGGCAATATATTGCAATACAGTTTTTGCCATATTGCTACACCCCTATTCCATAGGTTTCCAAGGGGTACATGTCCAGGGGGTGTTTCAAAACACTTGTCCAGGGGGTATTTTTTTAGGAAAGTACTTTCCATAGCTTGTCCAAGGGTACATGTCCAGGGGGGTGTTTCGAAACACTTGTTGAGGGGGTATTTGTTTAAGGAAAAGTGCCTTCCATAGGTTGTCCAAGGGGTTCATGTCCAGGGGGGTGTTTCGAAACACTTGTCCAGGGGGGTATTTTTACAGGAAAAGTGCCTTCCATAGGTTGTCCAAGGGGTACATGTCCAGGGGGGTGTTTCGAAACACTTGTCCAGGGGGGTATTTTTTAGGAAAAGTGCCTTCCATAGGTTGTCCAAGGGGTTCATGTCCAGGGGGGTGTTTCAAAACACTTGTCCAGGGGGTATTTTTTAGGAAAAGTGCCTTCCATAGGTTGTCCAAGGGGTTCATGTCCAGGGGGGTGTTTCGAAACACTTGTCCAGGGGGTATTTTTACAGGAAAAGTGCCTTCCATAGCTTGTCCAAGGGGTAAATGTCCAGGGGGTGTTTCGAAACACTTGTCCAGGGGGTATTTTTTACAGGAAAAGTGCCTTCCATAGGTTGTCCAAGGGTACATGTCCAGGGGGCGTGATTTTTACAGGAAAAGTGCCTTCCATAGGTTGTCCAAGGGGTACATGTCCAGGGGGGGGTGTTTCGAAACACTTGTCCAGGGGGTATTTTTTAGGAAAAGTGCCTTCCATAGGTTGTCCAAGGGGTTCATGTCCAGGGGGGTGTTTCGAAACACTTGTCCAGGGGGGTATTTTTACAGGAAAAGTGCCTTCCATAGGTTGTCCAAGGGGTACATGTCCAGGGGGAGTTTCGAAACACTTGTCCAGGGGGGTATTTTTTAGGAAAAGTGCCTTCCATAGGTTGTCCAAGGGGTTCATGTCCAGGGGGGTGTTTCGAAAACACTTGTCCAGGGGGGTATTTTAACAGGAAAAGTGCCTTCCATAGGTTGTCCAAGGGTACATGTCCAGGGGGGTGTTTCGAAACACTTGTCCAGGGGGGTATTTTTTTAGGAAAAGTGTGCCTTCCATAGGTTGTCAAAGGGGTTCATGTCCAGGGGGGTGTTTCGAAACACTTGTCCAGGGGGGTATTTTTTAGGAAAAGTGCCTTCCATAGGTTGTCCAAGGGGTTCATGTCCAGGGGGGTGTTTCGAAACACTTGTCCAGGGGGGTATTTTTTTAGGAAAAGTGCCTTCCATAGGTTGTCCAAGGGGTATCCATCCAGGGGCATGTTGGAAAATTGTTGTCAATAGGGTGTATTTTCCGTGGCATGAGTGGGATGGGGGGGTCAATGATAAGTGTGTCCAGGGGGGGTATTTTGGGGTGAAAGTGCCTTCCATAGGGGGGGTGCGGATATTTTCTGGAATAGCCCAATTTCGAAAATTATCAAATAACTTACGAATCACTGTGGTCTTGCCATACGCTTTTTCTGTCCTGAGCTGAGAGAGACATTTTTATCTAGGAAACACATTATAGACGGCCATTTGATAAAAATAAATAGAAAGGACACTTGAAATCTAAGAACGTTGTTTACGTTGTTGCTCCGGATGTAAGATAAGCGCCACCTTTTCAACAAGGGACGTAATTTTGTCACAAAATTGTGTATATCCTGTTCATAAACGTACCGTACCGTAAAACATTATTTTTATTGATCTGCTATTATGCACCTAGTCCAACTAATTAGACTTGTCAAAGAGACACCGAGATAATTTTTGGACGGGCGCTGTCTTTTTCTAACGGTTTGACAGTAAGGAAAAAAAAGTTTGTAAAATGGGTCAAACCGTTCACGCCAAATTAATTAGGCTATTCTGCACCAAAGTGGCCAATTTAACATACCTTAAGCACAAAGTTAGTATTATTTAATAAGGATTATGTGAAAAACTTGTCATCAATGATAAATCAACACAAAAATAACTATTTTCCAGGAAAATATATAGTTTTGCATAAAATAGAATATATTCCGTACCGTCATGTCACCAATCATGCATTTCAGTTTTTCAGTTTTTTACTAAACCAAGGCATATAATATGCAACGTACTGGTTATAACAAAGAAATGAACAGAAAAATAACAGTCAAAAATCACTTATATCACAATAAAAGAATACAATTATGACTAGCTAAATAAACAAAAAAGGAGATATATTGATCATTTTAACAACTGAACTCAATACAACATGTATTTTACATTGTAAAAAATGGGAACGGAGAATGAGAAGTATTATAATTATCTAAATTTTAACATAATATTTTTACAAAATAAAGATAGTTTTAGTAGATGATTTTTTATCACAACTATTCATTAATCTGTCAAGTTTTAAAAATATTGGGATGAATATAAAAACTGGGAAGAGGAGATTTACGTCTTATGTCATTAAAGTACGAACATTCAAATAAGTATAGTGAAATTCATCACCATATAATATTAGCTTGATACGGACATAAGGAACAGAGCCTTTTATTATGATCAATTACCAAATGTCTGCCTTTTTCAATTGGTAATAGGTGATTCATTGTTCTAAATTTACATAAATATTGACCTTTATCAAATGGAAGTACATCTAGATATTTTTCAAAACAATGAGTATTTTACAATTATGTACGTCATTGTACGATACACTTAGCACTTAGCTAGAATATGTATAAATAGAACTATGCCAGTCTTGTAAAAATTGATCATGTAGTCAGGGACATAGATAATGTCTCTGATGTATTCTAAGCTGCACAATGTTTTAAAATGATTAATAGTATCTACTTTCTGTAAGACATGCCAAGATTACTAAGCGTTTCTTTCAAAAAAATTATCCATTTAGAATTAACAATATTCCTAGAGGACAAAGACAATATTGTTTTATACAGAAGTTTACATATCTAATTTTCCTTAGCATTAATAATTTTACTCCAGAAACACAAAACTCTTGCTTTCACTTGTAAGACTAATGGAAATATGCCTAATGAAGCTTTATAAGCACAAACTATGGTGGCCGGTTGCGGCCATTTCAAACCCGCGAGAAATTTTATATTCTTTTCATAAAAAGTCGCAGGAAACTTACAAATCCGCGTGATTTTCTGCCAAAATTGTACAAAATGTTGCGGGGAACGTATAAACCTCGATATTTTATAACAGTTGTTGGAAATAGCAAGGAACATTTTGAAATCGGTGGCCGGTAGCGTCCATGGTTTGGCTCTACATTTTATCCCTCGTTTATAAAACGTCGAGGAACAGAAATAAATCCGCGACTTTTTTTGCAAGTGTTGTAGAAATTCTACAAAAAGTCGAGAGGAAAAATTATAGGCCGCGACTTTTTGTTCCTGAACAATGACTTATCCTTAAAAAGTCGCGGGTTTTTATACCCGCGACTTTTTGTAAGAAATACGCGAGTTTTTAGCCGCAACTTTTTGCGCAGAGACATTTCCCACAAAAAGTCGAGGCTGAATGTTCAAACTCTACTTTTTACAACGTATGCATCATAACAAAATATCGCGAATTATAATGGCCACAATCGGCTACCTAAAATAGGCATATGTTTGTGTGGCTAAGTCTACTATGTAGACAGAAAATGTCGCGGTTTCCTTCGTAAAACTCGACTTATTACGACAGTTATGTGACAGAAACCTCAAGAGTTTCTATAAGCCGCGACAATTTAAACAATTTCGACATAAAATCTCGCGGATTTAAAAGTTACCCGCGACATTTTATAAACTGCTTAAAAATGGACGCTATCGGCCACCATACAAAATAGTGATAGTTCAGCGTTAACCCAGCTGCACCGGAACTTGCAATTTTATAACAATACCCAAGAGGGTTTTAATTAAATTTGAACCTATACCTTGTTGGATGACAGAGTCAAATTATTTGATTGAAAACCAGATTTCATAAACAAATAGTGTGTCCAAAATTTGATAGACCAGCTAAGGGAAAGGAACTTTTCTCACAAGTTTAATTGTTCGTGTTTCATGTACTAAGCATTTTCATAGTATAACAATTAAAGTACCTTCCATGTATTAAAGGTATGATGTTTTGTTGATGTTTTTTTTTACTACCTTTTTTACCGTAATTTATGAATGCCCATTATTATATATTGGACATCTTCCTGATAAAAATTGAAATTATATAACCCTTTCAACGCGGAAGTGATTTTTCAGATTTTTTTTACTATAGATCTACTGTCTCGATTAAATTTGTGTATATTAGACAGATCCTACTGTATGTATATATGTTTCAAGTTAAAGGAGGGTGCATAACATTTCTAGCATTATATAATACATGTATAGTGCATATTAAAGGCTATGTACAACGTTCGATTCATTAACATGGCACTTGCCATATCATTAAAAACTATATATTTTCAAATTATTTTTAATAATATATTTATTTTATTTAATTTTTTTTCTTGGAAACACGTTGGATGGTGAGAATTTACATTTATGCAATTTCAGTCGAGCAATAGCATAAGAAGTGAACTTCGAAACCGGAGCTAGCACAATTTAATGTCCCACGGTCCAATGACATTCTAGACGTAGGCACCAATTTGTTGAATGTACATAAACGATTATGTTCTGTCCTGTTCTGTTCTGATAAAAAAGGCACATTATGCATCAGAAACGAATATTTTTTTCCTTCTCTAGAAAGTGCAAAAATAAAATGACTTTTATAACGTTTAAAAAAAGGGTTTAGAGAATGTCAAATGTATATCAATTGATCACAGTAGTGCAGAAAGTGAAATTGTTTCTAAGAAAAAAATAGCAAAATGTAAACAAATTAGTATTTTGTCTTCCATACAAAACGCTAAATCACTATAACTGTACTAATTTCCAAGCAAATAATGATTTCCAAGCAACAGATGGTTCGGGTTATTGGCTAATGAATAACTTTTCGGAAACTATAACAAGACGCTGTTTAAGATATAAAAATAAAAAGAATTTCTGAGGCAATAATTGATAACCCGAGATACCACGTAAAGGCATTGAATGTGTTTATCCTTACAATGACTGTAAATAAATTACGGAATCTACATCAACATTACTTGAATTGTATAAGCATTGAAAATTCCATGAGAAAATTGAGATATAACTAGATAAATGACATTTTATCACATATAATTTTTGACGTACGCACATATATTATATTAATATATTGTATATTGTTATTGGTAATATAAATATAAAAAAAAACATAATACAGTGGACAATATTTTTTATCTATAAATCGTTTTCATTAATTATATACATATGTATAAACAGTGCCTTATCCATGTTTGAGCAGGTGAATCATGCCGAGGGTCAAGTGAATATCGTCCCTTGGAGTTCAAGCTGCATTTAGGATTACCATTGGTGTTAGGGGATGCATTGATGACAACATTACAGCAACAATGCATGCCTATCACAAACTAAATCCGTATTTTCCCATCTTCCATATTAAGTAAAAAGTACTTTTGATGATAACTTTTGGGCTAAATGAATAGCTGATGATCAGGATGCTCTACCCGGAGCCGGTAACCAGCTTCAGATCACTTCCAGATACAGACAACTTACATGTATGTATGGTTGTGGACGAACGATCAATTTTACTAAAATAATGTTGCTTCTGGTAATGTTCTCGTGCTGTTAATTGCTATACAATATTGTGTATATAAATGCTGTTGACCTGCTCCACAAGATGACATACAATATACCATATAGTAAACAACAATAACAACAACAACAATAATGATGATGATAATAATAATACTAATAATATAATAATAATAACAATAAATAAGTAAATAAAATAATAATGATAACAATAATTAAAGAAACAATTTATTGTCATTATCAATTGACCATAAACAAACACATCATAATTACGGTCAAGAGATATTCTTCCCCGCATCATATTTGCTCTTCAGGTCAAAAAAGTAGTTCGAGTTTCCGGTTACTCGTCTGCTGCACCAGAGCTTTGCTGACATCAATCAAATTCAACAGTGCTGATATGTTCCCGCCAAAAATATCTGCCAAACTACAATGTATACTGTAGTTGATATACTTTATATAAATTGTGTGCCAAATCCTTTCCGACATCCTTTCCATAACTTAAGTTGTATTGGTCAACGCTATTGATATAATGTTAGTCATTTGATTTCTCCCCACGTGGAATCGAGTTGTGTATGCGAGATTTGGGTCTTTGAAGACATATACAGTTTTAGTCTATAAATAGTCTGTCATCTTTGTGCCATTCCTAGTTGTGTCAAGAGAAATTTATACAGTGGTAGATTATGCATTGGTGAAATAAACTAAACAGCAATGCAAGACCTATCACGTACAAAAAGTCTCTGCTTTCATGCGTATGAAAATAAATCCTCCATTTCATTGTTCCTGTAAACAGGCATGGCGATACTAACATCATCTACATCAATCCAAAAGTTCCACTTCTATACACGTAGAGATGCCTTGTTTTAGAAACTAAATACAATCGTTAGCTATTTATTTTTTAATGATGAAAGTTGAAGTCAGATGTACTTGTAACTTTACAAGGAGAGGTTGTTGTATGCGTCTATATGTATATCCTGTGTCTGTTAAATCACTCTATGGCACAGATATT